GTCCTATAGGATATGAGAATATATGGATATGTATTTAAACACTATATCTTAGATTTAAGACCACGAAATTTACTATTTCTTAATATAATTATACATACAACCAAATATAAATACATACAACCTGTTATGTACATTTTTAATTTTTTGATCAAGCAGCATATTTTTTCTATGTGTGACTTTTGTTCTAAGGTTCCCTCGCCTGTATTGTTGATTATTAATATGAAAGGTGATTACGCGCAATTAATGCATCAATGCAATGTTGGTGAATATTGAATATATTGAATACTAATGATGCACACACACACTCCAGATAATTGCGGGCCATAAATTGCAAAGTCAGGGATGCGAGAGATGCCAAAAGGAGCAAGATTCAAGATTCAAGATTCAATGACTCGGGCTCGAGGGCAGCAAACTCCAACCACTCGTTCGCATAGTGGGGCCACTAGTCCCGTCTAGTCGATGTCATTGGCTGCAGACATTCTCCAGACAGACATCCCGCCCTGTGGCCATATCTCATTGTCATAACGGACAGTGCTGACAGTAAATAATCCATCAATAATTGCATCCTCCAGTTGGCCAAGTTGGCTGCCTCTCTGGTTCGAGTTTTTCCAGTTGGCCTGGCTGGAATGGCCCTCGGCGATTTCCACTCTCGGCCATGGCCAATGCTTTATGTCAATTGTGCTGACATTAATCATGGCAGTTTTGATTGCTCGATGTCGCGTTCTGCTTAAAATTGCCCACCCAAGGGTTTGACAACTAGAAAAATCTGCCACAAACTCTCTTTGGGTGTCCGCTGGAACTGGTTTCCTAGTTGGGGGATCTCATCTTGATTAAAAGTAGTTGTCTATTCGTTTTGACTTGATTAGAAACTGCGTGGAATGTTGCTTTTATTAATCCAGTTCAGTAACTGTCGGTGGAGGATTTGCAGTTCTATAACTTTTTTATGATTAAAGCTCAGGAAAAATACTCTTAGGTTACTTAGTGTAACACTTGTAAAAATATTTTTATTTTTAGTAAACACAAGTAATTCGCTAATTAACTTAACTTGCTTTCGTTCAATATGTTTCCAAAGTAATAAAAATAAATACAATTTAACAAATTTATACATCTTTTACATAATATATCTAATTTTCCATGTAAAACTGTGAAAAAATTGGAGTGATAATAAAATATACAATCGTTAAATATTATATATAAACAAGAAAGGAAAGCTAACTTCGGGCGGAGCCGAAGTTGATATACCCTTGCAGAATACTCTATAATTATATTCTCCAAAATTATTCCTATGATGCATTCTTAATACTCATAAAAAATCCAAACTTCCTAACTTTAAAAACACCAAAGTTATGGCATTTCCAATCGTTCAGTTATATGGCAGCTATAGGATATAGTCGGCCGATCCTTATGAAATTTGGTAGGTCGGATTGATTGGCCAAATATAAAACCCATAGAAAATCCCAACTTCCTAACTTTACAAAAACGAAAGTTATGGCATTTCCGATCAATCAGTTATATGGCAGCTATAGGATATAGTTGGCCGATCCCGGCCGTTCCGACTTATATACTGCGTGCAAAGGAAAGAAGGGTGTGTGCAAAGTTTCAATTCGATAGCTTTAAAACTGAGAGACTAGTTTGCGTAGAAACAGACAGACGGACAGACGGACAGACAGACAGACGGACATGGCTATATCAACTCAGGAGGTGATCCTGATCAAGAATATATATACTTTATAGGGTCGGAGATGCCTCCTTCACTGCGTTGCACACTTTTGACCAAAATTATAAAAAGTATTTTTTTAAGAACTAAGTATTTACAGTAATTGTGAATTTGGGAAAACTCCTAACTGTACACCTGTTGGCACATATAACTTAGCCCCAAGTTCTTCGACTGGATTGAGATATTCCCACAGAGACAGTCGCTGAAGTGGTTCGTTTATATTTGTTTATGTTAAATATTGGAGTGCATGTGGAAGCCACTAAAAGAGAAGAGTTGAGCGCCACTTCAAGCCATTTTCAGGTCAACTAATGGTGGCATTTCGGCGAAAGGCAAAGGTAACAGGTAAATGGCAAGAGGTAACAGGTAACAGAGGAGCAGAACATGCATCAGTGGCAACAACAACAGCAATAATGTGAAGAACTTTTTACTGGAAAAGTGGATTTTCTTTTGCGCCATTTTGCGGCATTTTACGTTTCTTTGGCTCGGTTTGCTGTTGCTTCTCTGCCACTGCCTCTCCTTTAGCCTTCCTCTTCTGCTCCTCGTGGCAGTTTGTTTGTTTGTTTGCCTTTGGCTTTGGCGAGTTATTTACGTTTTGCTTCACACAGCAACTTAACCCATGCCACCCCACCGCCAAACCGCTCGGCACAAAGTGGTGCTCGTGGCTGCGTCCAGGCGCAAAAGTGTTTGTAGCCGCCAGCAAGCTTATTTAGCCGCTCAAGAGCCTCTGCAGACGGTTGGTTCTTGTGGTGGTTCTTGGGGCGGTTCTCAGGGGGGTACGGCGGGGGAGGGGGCACGGCGGGGAATCTGGGTCAGGGTTCAGACTCAAAGATTGTACCTGACATAGAAATGTTGCGCCGGGGGTTAAGTAAAGGAAGCGAAGGAAGCGAAGGAAGTGAAAGGATGTGGCGCTGTCAATCTGCTAATTTTTGAAAGTAGTTTGCGGTTACTGAAACCAAATCAAAGGTGCACCAAAGAAATGAAATGGGTGAATAAAATTGGTTACCTAATGCCAAGCATAAGGCATCTGTTAAAGCCTAGTATCCAGATCGACAAAGGAGTATGCTAGCGTAAAAACTTTAATTTTTCCAGTGTGACCAAAAATTTCGAGAGTTCATCGGATTTAAGCATGCTACGGTCGTACTGTCAATCAGCTATGCCCTTTAAATTAGCAAATAATTATCAGAAAATTAAAACAAAACAACTGTTAAATTTAAATTGTATTGTTTTTTTAATTTCTTTGTACAGCGGCATACTTGTCTTGCCAAGGTATTTGATAATTTTTTTTTAAGGCTCTTTCCCGCAAATACGATATTTGAATCTTAACTGCTTGTCAACAAGCCCAGCTGACTGACAGTACGACCGTAGCACGCATAATTCTGATGAACTCTCGAAATGTTGGTCACACTGGAAAGATTAAAGTTTTTACGCTAGCGTACTTGTTTGTCGATCTGAGTACTAGGCTTTAGTTTCAAAGATATCGAATTGAAACTTTGTACACTCCCTTCGTTCCTTTGCACGCAGTATATATGTAAGTCGGAACGGCCGTGATCGGCCGACTATATCCTATAGCCACCATATAACTGATTCGAAAGTTAGAAAGTTGGGATTTTCTATGGGTTTTATTTTTGGCCAATCAATCCGACCTACCACATTTCATAAGGATCGGCCGACTATATCCTATAGCTGCCATATAACTGAACGATTGGAAATGCCATAACTTTGGTGTTTTTAAAGTTAGGAAGTTGGGATTTGTTATGGGTTTTATTTATGGCCAACCGATTCGACTTGCCAAGTTTCATAAGAATCAGCTGACTATATCCTATAACTGGTATACTACTGATCGATCGGAAATGCCATAGCTTTGGTGTTTCTTAAGTTAGAAAGATGGGACTGGCTATATCGTATAGCTGCATATACCTGAACGATCAGAAACGCGATAACCTTGGTGTGTCCTTCAGAGTTCTGGTTATCAGCCGCCGCAGATATCGATAACCAATACAACGGTGCGGTAATACACTCATACCAAAATTAACCCTAAAAATAAGAAATTCGCCATATTTTTGACTTTACAGGCATCGCACCTTAAATTTTAGGATAAATTTTTCTAAATTTAAGGGCGTTCCTTTCTAAAATCTAAGGCAAAGGGCGCTAAAAACAAGAAAAACTTTTCCAAAAAATAGAAAAATATTTCTTAAAAATACATCATTCATGATGTAATTTTTCATTCAGGATTTATGGACTTATGTATATTTATGTATGTGTATTACATATGTATATGACTTAAAGCACTTCGCTTTTCATTTGTAAAAGTCACAAAGTTTGTATTAGTATTGCACTAATGAATTGCCCATATCTATTTCAACTGTAATTCTGTGGGGAAGAGAGAGGAAATTTGTGTACACCTATGATATTTATTTCAGTTTTTACAAGTAAACTCCGATAAGTATCTTTATACCCTTGCAGAGGGTATTATAATTTTGGTCAAAAGTGTGCAACGCAGTGAAGGAGACATCTCCGACCCTATAAAGTATATATATTCTTGATCAGGATCGCCTCCTGAGTTGATATAGTCATGTCCGTCTGTCCGTCTGTCTCTTTCTACGCGAACTAGTCTCTCAGTTTTAAAGATATCGAATTGAAGCTTTGCACACACCCTTCTTTTCTTTGCACGCAGTATATAAGTCGGAACGGCCGGGATCGGCCGACTATATCCTATAGCTGCAATATAACTGATTGATCGGAAATGCCATAACTTTGGTGTTTGTTAAGTTAGGAAGTTGGGATTTCCTATGGGTTTTATATTTGGCCAATCAATCTGACCTACCAAATTTCATAAGGATCGGCCGACTATATCCTATAGCTGCCATATAACTGATTGATCGGAAATGCCATAACTTTGGTGTTTGTAAAGTTGGGAAGTTGGGATTTTCTATGGGTTTTATATTTGGTCAATCAATCTGACCTACCAAATTTCATAAGGATCGGCCGTCTATATCCTATAGCTGCCATATAACTGATTAATCGGAAATGCCATAACTTTGGTGTTTGTTAAGTTAGGAAGTTGGGATTTTGTATGAGTGTTAAGAATGCATCATATGATTAATTTTGGAGAATATAATTTACAGAATATTCTGCAAGGGTATTTCAACTTCGGCTCCGCCCGAAGTTAGCTTTCCTTTCTTGTTAGGGTTAATTTTGGTATGAATGTGGCCCAGTATGCAATGGTGTGGATGCCACCTTATCTCGAAAGCGCCCTTCATGCGAAATTCTTTTTGCCTTTCAGTTCCGCGAGAATCGTCGTTCGAATCAAAAGTGCGCCACGCCACAAAAAAGGCAACTGCGGACGGGAAAGCGAGATAAAGATTGTAAGCTCCAACACACGGAAACCGAAGCGATAATGGGCAGCCAGCAAAGCCAGCTCAGCGAGGTCATGGAGACGGTCACCAATCCAGCTGACGAAGTGCTGACCTCCACTGCCGTGCCCAAACCTTTAAAGTCCAGCCTGACCAATAGTAAGCTAGGGCCCGCCTGGGTCTACATCTTTAACCACGAGCGTTTTGATAACAATAACGAGTTCCGCATGGGCAGTGCCCAGGATGTGAATGCCCTGCGCGCCGCATTCGAGCAACTCAAGTGCAAGGTGGAGGTCATCACAGACGCCACTCTGGCCACCGTCAAGCAGACGGTCAAGATGCGTAAGTAGAGCCAAATTTGTTTATAGTTCCGTATTGAACTCCCCATCTCTTACAGTTGAAGCCAAGGACTTTGAGGATAGGAGCGCTCTGGTCCTGGTGGTGCTCAGTCATGGATCGCGCAACGATAGACTGGCGGCGAAGGATTACGACTACTCCCTGGACGACGACGTGCTCTTCCCAATCCTGCGCAACCGGACGCTCAAGGACAAGCCCAAGCTGCTTTTCGTGCAGGCCTGCAAGGGCGCCAACAATCTGGGTGGTTTCATGACAGATGCCGTCCAGCTCAACGGGTCCCCCAACGAGATTCTCAAGTGCTACAGCACCTACGAGGGATGTGTCTCCTATCGCACGGAGGACGGTACTCCATTTATTCAGACGCTGTGTGAGGTTCTCAATCGGAAGGGCAAGACTTCAGACATCGACACCATCATGACGGACGTGCGGCGCGTGGTGAAAGCGCTAATCAAGTGAGTTATCCAAATGTACAACGTTGGTTATCCAAATATACATAATTACATGTGATCAGTCATAGTATTTTTTAATACAACTTTTCCTCAATCTGAAACATGGACCAAAAAGTCAAGATGTTTAAGAATAAAACAACAATAATAATAATACTTTAATTGTTTCCGGGGGGCGCTGTCATCACTGACGATAACATTGATAATTCTATAGAATATATAATATATATAATCAATATAAATCAATATATATAATATATTAGAATCAACATCGATTTCTGATAAGTATACTTACGGTTATTTTTATACCCTTGCAGAGGGTATTATAATTTCAGTCAATAGTTTGCAACGCAGAGAAGGAGATATTTCCGACCCTATAAAGTATATAAGTTAAAAGGTTGATTATAATTTTATATTAAAAAAAATCATCTTTTCTTTATTGAGTTGGATTAAGAACTAACTTTAATTAAGCTAAACAATTATTCATTATGACTACGCGTTGTTCCATCGCTGCCACCGTCTCTGCCGCAGCTGCTGTTTCTGCTAACGTTCTTTATTATTATTGGTTGCTGCTATTCTTCGCTGTCGCTGTTGGCCAATTTTAATTGTCATTGGCCAATGCATTAAAGTTATAGTTTTTGTTGTATGCACTTGGCCAAGTTCGATCAACTTTGGAAATTGGCTATTCTGCATTCCCACGATCGCTGACCGAAAGGTGCAAGCTCAGCGCACGTGGCTTAGTTCGTGTGAACTTTATTTGGGGCATTTGTTGTGCAATCAATGCTTACTCTTACTTATGTCTGGGTCTTTATATAATTTTAGGTGTTAACTTATATATTCTTGATCAGCATCACAAGAAGAGTCGATCTAAGCATGTCCGTCTGTCCGTCTACGCAATCTATCCCCTCAGTTTTAAATCTATCTGCTTGAAACTTTCTTTCTATTGCACGTAGTATATAAGTCGAAACGAATCGGATCAGGCGACTATATCATATAGCTCCCAATGGAAAAATCGGAAAACAATTCAAACAATTATAAATTAATTGTTTTTAATTTTTTTTGTTGTCTTTTGAAATTTGGTAGTATTTAAATATTATGGGATTATGGTTTTAATTAAATTAAAATCGAATAACAAAATCATATAGCTGCCGCAGAAATCGACATAGCTTTATTGTTTTTAGTAATATAGGCATAGAAATCAAAATGTAGTCGATTTGTAATAACTGCAAGGGTATTTAAACTTTGGCTTGCCGAAGTTTGCTTCCTTTCTTGTTATAAATTTTATAATAATTACATGAAATAAAGAAATAAAAACATCTAAGCCATTTAGCAATTGCTAAAATGTAATAACTAATTTATAATTACTAAAAGTACACACAATATCATACATTTTTTTATATATTTTGCGAGCTTTGAAACTATTGCCGTTAGTTATAAATACATCCAACACACACTTCAATCCACAACTCCTGGTCGCATTTAGCCAAATCCCACAATTCCACAATTCGCAAATGCCAAATTGCAGTTCGAACAGCGAACAATATTCAGTGACAACCGAACTACAACACCAGCAATCAAATCAGCCAATCAACTGTCGATTACTTAAGCCATTTTCAATCAACACGGCCAAAACCCAAACTGGCTAGCACACACACACATATTTAGATGCAGATACCAACACAAATACAGATGCACAGCCACCAAATTACAAATCTCAAACGCACAATAAACGCAATTACAAGCGTGGGAGAGAGAGAGAGAAAGGGGGAGAGGGAGTGAATGGGACGGAGAGAAGGCGGACCGCAGGGCAAAATACGGGGGCGAAAAGGAAATCGAAAGGCCGGGCGCCAAGGATTTATGCAATTTCGGCCCAACAACTAACCATTTGCTGGGCTCCATCAATCAATCAGCAGTCAATACATATGGCCAACATGATTGAAGTCAATTGTGAGAAAAACAGCATTTTTGATAAGTGGACAGGGGGGAGGGTTAATGCCATTGGGAGCAATATAACCGTGGGCCCAAGTCCAATCAGCATTATCATAAAATCAGCAAAACGATGAAGAACTTATGCCAAAAAATTAATGAATAGCTTAAATTTTATGAAAAAAAAATTTAATACTTACTTGTTTTATAAAATCTTTAATAATACTGTTTACTAATTTATACTGTTTTACTTATTTGTTTTAAAAATATTTGTTTTAACTAAGACTAAGTAAAATAAATATATACATATAAATAAATAAATAAAAAAATAGATTTAATGATTCTTAAAAGACCCATATTTTTCATATATTTTTATCTTTTCTTTAACTATAAATAAATATTTAAAGATAAATAAATAAATATATGCTTGAAAAATAATAAATATCTTATTAAATGAGGAATAAAAATATTTAAAATATTTAAACTGTTACGTGTAACCTACCAAATTTTCACATTTGTTGATTCTTTTCCCACTTCCAAAAAGCATTGTGCTGAAATATTATTCCAGATTTTAGCCATTTAGTCGTGAGTGGGTGGCAGTTTTGACAGCCCTTACCAATTGGCAGTCGTTTTCTCCTCGTCTCACAGACGATTGAGATGGAAAAGTTTTGTTTTCATCAGATATTTACGCACACATTCCCATCACCACACATACGCAATCAAGCAAACAAACGAACACCCATAAATTTATATAGACAAAGTTCGATGCATAACAAATATTGTATCTTATGAGTTTGTCTGGCAGATATCTTGCTTGTTGACAATGCATGAATAGGATAAATACTTGCAAATTGTTTGTAGTAAATAAATCATAAACGTATCTGAGCTATTCAGGCCTGTAATGTATTTGCGGAGGTGTAAATTCCATGTTTTACTAATTTTATGGTTTGCTTTCGGTAAACATATTTTGTGGTCCTCGAATTTTATAAGTTGTGTATGGCTTTGATGAACTGAAATAAATTTAAATGTATGCAGTCTACAGAACATTTTACTACTTTTAAAATATTTTAAATTACAAAAGTAATTAAAACTTGTGTTTGGCGTTTTATAATGTCCATCTGGTGATAGTCTACACTTTTAGGCCTGTTTTTAAACGTTATCTCAAAAATAGGTTTGCAATTTAAAAGCTTAATTTAATGGTAAGTCGCTACGAAATTTACAAAAGTGCTATGATTAATGCCTATTCAGCAGAGTCGCCAGATTTCTAATCGTCCCCATTGTCGATGGTGGCCGCTTTCAGTCATGAATAAGTTCTACCCGGAGTATGTTTGCGCAAAGTGTTTGCCTTCGACTGCTGATCCTCCTCCTGCTACTGAAATCCGCCTGCACCGTCCAGGAAAAATCCCGCAGATACTTCTGGAGCACAAAGTGGCGAGAAGGAGCGTCGAAGGTGTTCGCCACCAAGAAGACACAGATACAGCCGCTGTTGATCAGTACGTGGAACTACACGGATGCCAATCTGCAGGCATGGAGTGTCCTGCAGCAGGGACCTCGAAGGACTCGGCAGGCGGTCATTCAAGGATGCATGGCCTGCCAGCACCCGCGATGTGGCCACCTTTTGGCCGGCGGATCTGCTCCAAACTCCGAAGGCGATCTCACCCTGGAGGCAGCCATCATGGATGGCGCCAGTTTGGGTTACGGCGCAGTGGCCGGAATGAAGGGCGTTCGAAATGCCATCCTTGTGGCAGATGCAGTTCTGCGGCACACCAAACATTCCCTGCTGGTGGGAAAGAGTGCAGCAAGATTTGCCCGTTCCATGGGCTACAAGGAGGATTACCCGGCGAGTGTGCGCACCGAGGAGGTCCTGAAGAAATGGCAATTGACAGGCTGCCAGCCGAACTTCTGGCGCGATGTTCACCCTCCTCCGCTGGACAACTGCGGTCCCTACTCCCCCCTGCCCCGGCATCTGCTCCAGCAGCCGCTGCACCAGGAATATCCCATCGTCCAGGGTCACCACGATCAGCTGGCCTTCCTGGCCCTGGATGCGGAGGGCAAGTTCCATGTGGCCAGCCACTCGAGTGGTGCGCGATTTCGAATTCCCGGTCGAGTGGGTGACGCGGCGGTGCCGGGTGCCGGGATCTATGCGGACAACGAGGTGGGTGGTGCGGTGGCCAGTGGGGATGGCGATGTCCTGATGCGCCACCTGCCCGCCTTCCTCGCCGTCGAAGCCCTGCGGGGGGGAGGAACGCCGGAGAAGGCCGCCGAGGGGGTGGTGCAGCGCCTGCTGAAACACAACACCGAGTTCAATGGGGGCGTGGTGGTGGTCAATCGAAGGGGCATCTACGCTGCCGCCTGTGCCGGAATGGATGAGTTCCATTTCGTGGTCAGCGGGGGAAAGGGATATCTCAGCATGGCGCGGGTGGAGAGGATCAAGTGCGTGGATCGGGATGAAGTCGTGGATGGGGGGCCCAAGGGATTATATCATGCAGCTCCCGAAAAACTGGTAATGCCAACGGCAAAGGGAAACATCATATAGATAGGTACAAGAGGTAGAGGGTCTTAAGGGTCTTAAAAGCGGGTTTTAAGTACGTCCATATTAAGAATGAAGTAATGGGGTAAGAAATATAAGAACAGTACAAAATGCTTATAAGTTCTTACAATAAGGACTTAACCAGCGAAGATGTATTGAAGTCACTTTGTGATAGCGGAAGATGGAATTACGTCCGTACCCTTGCTTAAATGTATTTCGTCTTTTTGAACGTGATCAGAAAAGTGAAAAAATATAACAAAAATTCAACAAAAGGAGGAAAGAAAGAAAAATCAGTTGGATAAAAAAAAATATTATATAAAATTTAGTATCTATAAGTTTAGCAAGTCCAGCCACACAACAAGAACTATAAAACAAGATTATTGTATTACCTTATTTTATTATTTTTTTATACTTAGCTATAATTTATCAACACCTGTTGACCCGCTTTAACTTTCTTGTTACATTTTTGTTTATTTTAATATTTTTATTTTGATCACTCTTATTTTGTTTTGTATCATTTCCTTTCTTTATTTACCAGGGCTAAAAACTTTTTACTCGCCACGACTAAGCTCCCAATTTTGGTGTAACGATTTCAGTTTTCCCGCTTTCCTACATTTTTATTTTCCTTCACGCATTTTTATCCCAAATTCATCTGTTTAGCATATTTCTTTGTTATGTTTGTATTATTTTCGTTTCCTTTTCCATTTCGGGGCTTTCCCGCCCTCTCTGTTGTCGGATTGTGTAACGTAATCCCCTCGTGTTGGTTGTAAGGGAAAATCTGTTGTAAATGTATGCAAATAAGTACAGATGTGCTTTAACTTGCGTGGCCAACAAAGTTTGACCTCCAGCATTAAAGTCAGCACGGCAAAATTGTTAGGTATAGTTGTAATTACTATGTAATGCATCAGTATTATTATGTTTAATTCGTTGATTTAATATAAACTAAGGAAGTCAATGTCAAATGACCATTAAAAGCACAAATGTCTTACTCGTCCTATCTTTTGAACACTCAGATTAAAAGTCAGTGTGTCATAAAATTGATTGCCATAACTCACAGCGATCGAAACCGATAAGTTCCATAGCCGGAGGGCAAATAAATTATTAAATGACCGACGATGGGCTATTGAAAAACTTTTCGTAGGCTTAAAAATTCACATACTTGATAAGAAATCACCAAAAAATATTAATAAATACTAATCAAAACTAATGCTAATAAATAATTGTTAATTACAAAAATATATTGATGCGCATGAATCACAGCAAAATAACCAAAAAAATTAGTTTACATTTTACTCATTTGTCAGGAGTAAGCCAGATAAGATTCTTAAATGGCCAAGCAAACAAAACGAACATGCCGTGATATAAGTCCAGCAATAATTACTAATCTATAGGGAAACATCTTGAAATTGCTTGGCACAACAAGTACTGCATTGTAATATCGTTATCATTCTGTTGACTGATTAATGTGAATTTTCTCAAGTGTCGCAAAACAATTGCGGTCTTTTTCGATTTTTTTCAAATTAGTTGCAGCTTAGTTTCAGTTCTAATCGGTCGCTCAAAGGTGTTGGATGTTTCGAAACATGTTGCAATCGGACTTGTTTTTTGTTTCGCTAGCTATATTGCTGGCATCTCACGAAATTTCGGGAGAAATTACTGCCGAAGTGCAGAATGCAGTTAATCTGCCCAAATGTTACAGCTGCGAAGGCATTAATTGCTTAAGGACAACCCGCCTGAATGCCACCGTTAGTTGTTCTGACAAATTGGATATCTGCGTTACCATTTATGAGGACTGTAAGTTTATGGCAAAACATTTTTGTAATAATAATATTAAAACAACGCCTTTTCAGTTGCTGTCAGTGAGCGGGGCTGTTTCTCTGAGATTTCTTTAGCTGGTCAAGCAAAATGCGCGGCCAAGGACGATCAATGTCAAAAGTGCAGTGGTCAGTTGTGCAATAACCAAGGACGTCGGGACTTCAAGTGCATTCAATGCATTGGATCTGACGTATGTAAAAACAAATTTTTAAGGATTAAACATTTTACACAGGTCTACTTGTGTTTTTAAAAAATTATTCCTACCATATATTTAGAAATCACAATATAAATAAAATTAGCTTAGAAAAATTATTGTAATTTTTCAAAAGGACATATACAAAAATTACCATTTTTTAAGCTATACTTAAATTTGTGATATTTTTCCCTTTCCCAGTCAGAATCCTGCAACAAGGGTGCCACCGCCTCCCTAACCGCCTCCCAATGTGGCCTTCCCACCTCCGCCAACTCCTATTGCTATGTCAAGGTCGTTGGCAATAAGAAAGATCAACTGCAAAGGGGTTGTGCTCTCTCTGTGAAGGAACAAAAATCCTGTCTTGAGGACTCGGAGTGCTCCCTCTGTCTGCCTGATAACTCCAGTGATGCAGTGGCCTGCAATAACTTCGATTTGGATTTGAGCGATAAGTCGGGAGCCGGTCAAGGTCAAAAGTTCATGAGCTTGGGCGTGGCTTTCTTCGCCCTGCTCTTGCTTAAATTTCTAAATTAATGTTTTAATAAATAAACACAAATACCTTCAGGTATTACCTACCCACCAAATGTTTTGATTTCTTTCTTATCGACTTTTTTGACTTTTCAAATTTGTTTCCATCAATTAACTAGCATGTGATTCTTGGAACAATACCACAGTTCAATCACAGGGGAATTCTTTCAGCGACAGTTTATTTTAGAGGGCACTTCAAATGCGTTTCAGTATATAGTGGTGATAGAAAAAATAAATACACTTAAGAAAATAAACTAAAATTAACTATTTTTTCACTAGTGGTGGTAGAAAAAATAAATACACTTAAGAAAATAAACTAAAATAAACTATTTTCTTATAAATAAACTAAAATAAACTATTTTCTTAAGTGTATTTATTTTTTCTACCACCACTATATACTGCAACGCTTAAATATGTCTTAAGGAAATTAACACTTTTATCTCACTCTTAATCCTCTGATATCTACGAGGAATTATAATATGTATTATTTGATGTTTGTATTAAACATATTTTTGGTACTACAAGGGTAAGAAAATTATTATTAGCGTAGATCAGGAATTGCAGCATTTAATTTTATTTTAATCACATGTATAACGACGATGTATAACAGGTATAATCGTACATCTGATTTTTAATTTGTATAACAATAAAATTTGTATTTATTATAAAATTTTACAGGCTTATAAAATCTGAATGGAGTTTGTTGAAGTGAAAACCGTAACGGAATGATCAAAAGTGGGCTATTCATTATTTTGCGCAATTTTCATTTGATAATTTTCACTATCTTAACTTCCTTCTAAACTTTGATCATCGAGGGGATGAGTAATTTATTTGTTAATCGTTGTACATATTCGACTGTCCTTTGCTGTCGGTTCTTCATAGAACACTCTCAAGTGTTTGGCCATTTCCACGGACAAACGCACACACAATCACCCGTACTGACAGAAACCGCTCTTGAGGACCCTTCAGTGGAGCATTTGAAGTGGTCAGTGGTATAAAAGCCGATCGCATTGGCCAATTGCCCGACAGTTGAAGACCCAAAATGAAGGCCCAAACAATTGCGAGTGTGCTGAGTGCGGTGGTGCTGGTGGTTCTGGTGGGTCAAGCGGTTGGGAACACGGTGACCACATGCCACAGTTGCGAAGGTGCTAATTGCCAAAGGGTTCAACTGAGTAAAACGCAGTCCTGTGTGGATTCCTTGGACTATTGTGTGACCATCTACGATGAAGGTAGGTTGGCTGGGTTAACTTATTCAATCAATGTCTAAATATTTAATGAAATATTCCAGCCAAGGTCCTGTTCAAAGGTTGCTCCCTGGAAATTCCATTTGAGTTGCGTTCGAAGTGCGATGATAATCGCTCTTGCTACAAGTGCAACACCAAGGAGTGCAATAATGTGGGATCGGCCAAATATGCCTGCATTCAGTGTGATTCCAGCAAGGTAAGTGTATCCACTGTTTCCTTAAAGCTTATCATATATAATAGTAAATTTGTAACCCCTCATTAGGACTCCAATTGCGCTTCGAATGCCGCTGTCTTGGAAGCATCCCGCTGCACTGCACCCACTGCTGCAAACTCGTATTGCTATGTGAAATCTTCAGGTGGATCCATTACCAGGGGCTGCTCCACCACCGAAACCGATCAGCAGAGCTGTTTGAACGACGCCAACTGCCTGTTGTGCTCATCTGGTGATATTAGGAACTGCAATGCCGCAAACATCGTTGAGGACAGTTCTAATGTTGGAAACCGCTTCATCCGTTTCCTGAAGTAACTTAAACAATGTATCTGATATCAAAATAAAATTATTAAAATAAAAAACATATGAATCTTATGTACTTATACTTATACTGAATACTTTATTCATGTAAAAAATGACCTACATATTGTCCAAAAAAATTTACTAATGAATTCAGTGACTCAATAGTATTAGGATCCTTATAATATAGGTAATATAGGTAATATTATAACGATTTTAATACTAGGATTTAAAGTAGTCCTTTAAAAATGGTATACACCCTATTTATATTTAGAAATTACACGATAACTTAAATCATGCAGATTCCATCGGTATATTGTTTTTTTTTCTTTTACAAGAAAAATTTTAAAAACCATTAGGAAAATGTTATATTACTTTTATGTAGTCTTATAACATTTTTAAAATTATAATTAGAAAGATATAGATATCAAGATGATATTACTAAAAAAGTGATATATAATATAAAAAGTTTTTTTTTATATTTTACATCGAAATCGATGCCTTATGTTAGACTTTGGGGAATTACTCAATTTTTTAATGACACCGATGTTGATTAATAACAAAAACCTTCAACAAGACTCATTCAAAATTATCTAGAAGACATTTGATCTATATTTTTGTCTAATCTAGGCAGATAACCGATTTATAGAAAAAAATTCCATTAACGTTGTTAACTTGTTTGTTTACTTGTGACTAAGGAACTACTTTATTAACTGCCCCACAAGAACTCCGGTACTTGAGTGCATTTGGGCTTAAGGAATCCCACAAAAACAACAGAATTGTTTATGCAATTTGTGAAGAGAGGAGGAAAATCACTTAACGTGTTTGCTTACATACTTCAGATAGGTTAACTATTAAGAAATATCTGAAATATACTCTTGAGCGAACAGAATTTATATAAAGCGATGGTTAACGACTGGAAGCCTTTCAATGCTAAATGTTCCTTCTGCAATGTCAAACTTAAATCTGTATCAATTACTGTTCGCCCTGCTGCTTTTGGGTAGCAGTTATGTGCTGGCATCGGAAAAATGCATTTATTGTCGGGGTATTAATTGCCAGAGAAGTAGTTATGTGGCGGAGGAACAATGCTCGGATCGAATGGATGCTTGCGTGAGTGTTTTTCACGAAGGAATTATTGAGGCTCAAGGATGTCTGGACAGTCTAGAGGATGATTGGAGAGAAAAGTGTCAGGATAAAAATAAAGGACGTGGAGTTGACTGTGAGATCTGTGTTTCCGAAAAGTGTAACACTGTGGCGTCCAAAAGAGCAAGCTGTCTTCAGTGTAATAATACAGAGGTAATTATTAAAAACAAAAATATTTTACCCTTTTAATATATTGTCTCTTTAAATAAATATTTTTTCTTTAAGGACGCACAGTGCATGGAAACTCCAGAACTTTTGAAGGCTGTACAATGTCCCATTGCAAGATCAGGCAGAAGTTTTTGCTATGCCAGTTTGGAAGGAGATAGTTTGGAAAGAGGATGTTCTTTGAGCCTTACAGATCAAGTCAATTGCCTGGCCAATCCGAACTGCCACTTGTGTGATCCTTTGGAACAACCCCACTGCAATGACCAAGCTGTTAAAGCAGATGATTCCTCAACCTCTGAATCTCCAACAGAATCAACAAGTTCATCAACGGAGTCAACACCAAGCTCAACAATAACAACTGATTCAACAACAGATTCAACAACACTTTCAACAACAAGTTCAACAACAAGTTCATCAACTAGTTCTTCAAGCAGTTCATCAACAAGCTCACCAGAAACCACAGAGTCTTCAACTACTGAAGAGATTCCAACCACAACAAACAAACCCAATTCGGCTTTCGGTCTGCACGTTTCATTCTTCCTGATTTTTGTCCAATTGGCCCTTTGTATTGCCAACTAACTTAAATGACTTTCATCTTTAATTCCCACGACCTTTCCAAAACACAATCTATGTACGTCTAAAATAAAACCAATTTTTATGATATTACCATAAACTGCTTGTCGCCATTAATTGCAATCTTCTGGATTTTATGGCTATAAAAAACTCAAGGCTGAGCATGTTATGTCAGCGATTAGAATCAGATAAGCTACAAGTAAAATCCACCACAATATAAATCCTATTTATATAATTTAAAAGTAATAATAAGGCAATCATAGAGCTAGATCTACTATGATTTCACAATTTACTATTGTTTTTATAGATAATACAGCAATGATTGGGAAATTATTTAAAAAAATCGATTCGAAATCAAGTTTGATTTCCTGATTTATTGATGCTGCCAAGGTAAAACGAGATTATTAACTAATTGGGTTATTCCATTTTTAAAGATTAGTAGGCATTTCAGCCAAAAAAAAGAACAAATTGTAGATTTAAATTGACAATTTTCATATTTTTTCATTTGTATTCCTTAAAACCATTGATTCATCTATGCTATTGGACGAACGAGGTTTCGCTATGAATCATTAAAAGAATTTATTTTTTTAGTACCAGTTATTTAAAATCGATTTCCTGACATTATTAATTAGCTTGCTCAACGTCCAGCCAGGAACAATAAAATTAAAGATTAAGTTCTTACGAAAAGTCATTTACTCCTATCTGGGGTTTTCCAAAAAAAACTATATGATTTACAATCGCGATACAATAAGGCGCCATCTATGTGACAAGTTTAACTATCGAATAACTGAATTGGGTATCGATTTTAGAAGCTTAAAGCCTTTTTTCCTTCACAGATAGTTGAGTGCAATAGAGTGCAGTGATAAGAAGAAACTACGAAAAACTGAATGTTATTGCCAATATTTAAGTTGAGCTAGAAAAGCGAATCGATGGCCTCCATTTGGCCGCTTTTTATGAAATCCTCTAATCAGCCAACATATATTTCGGCTGTCCATTGGCATGGAACCTTATTCGCCTGATTATGGTCGGCTTATCTGGATCGTTTTTGTTGCTTTTTATGTTAATTCCCCTCAATCGGTTATAAATAACGAAGCTTTATCGGCCATATAGCTATGGCAACAGCGCCTACAATATAATCGCTTTGGGCCCCTAATATAGAGCAATAATCAAACAGCCCCGATAGGACCCATCGATCGATCCGATAGCTCGAGCATGTCGCGACACCAGTAGAAAATCTATAAAAGGCTTCAATTCAGCCAGCTAAAACTTAGTTGCCCGAATCCATTTTTCTGGCTAATACGGAAATACGCGAGTCGTCGACCTGAAGTGGCCCTCAAACGATCATGAAATCAACGGCAGCGGGAGTAGCCTTGCTACTTCTTGTGCTAAATCACTCAAGTGGTAGGTGTTTGTTTAAGCCAAAGGATAAAGGACAATGCAAAGTGAAAGTGATCGTGATAATTCAAGTGCCAACTAAAACCGGATTAAAAAAAAACTTAACAAAGTTACAAAAATAAAACTATATAAAATAAAGCAAAAAATCTTACCAAACCAAAAAATTTAAGCAAAATTTTATATAAATTCAACAATACAAAATAATATTTTTTAAATCTTAAAGAAGGAAAAAACGCTTAAAATGTTTGTCTTGTTACGTAATTAAAATAAATGAAAAGTGGCCTTAGATCTCTGGATCTTTTAAAACAAAAACTATATGAACAATCTAGAAATGAAAACGAAATCGTAATTTACTTTGGAAAATCCAATGCACAATTAAGAACACAAAAATTAATAAAAAGAAGATTAACCTATCTAATCTATCGAAAATGTCTGCTCGTGTTATTCCCCATCGGACATTGAATTGGGAGTGCATGTCCGTCAATCGCGCCGACTTTATGACTCATCTTTATGGGCTATATTACACCTTTATCTATTATCAATAAAAAAAAACACTTCATGATGAGACATAAAGGTGTAACTAATTTTTTTTCTGAAAGGCTAGTCATCTGGTTTTTTCGAAGTACATATATAAATCATAATCATAGTGGTTTAACGTTTGATAATCTAATTGCGAAACACTTGCAATCGGAATTTTCGAGTGGTTCAGAAATCCAAATTTCTTGATTTATATGGATTATGTCAAGGGAAAGATTATAAGTTGACTTTGGACTTTGTAATATCGAGTTAATTCAGGGTTATCAAATGCTTAATTTTGAAGTAAATGAAATTTTGAAACAACAAATGTATTTATTTGCGCAATTAAATAAATTGTGTGTAGTGTATATATGGGCTGAATTGGTTATTGGTGCCTATAAAGATATATCCCTTTTCTCACGATTTTAAAATATGCCAAAAGTTTTCCAATAAAAGTCATATTTATATTAAATTGAATTAGAACCTCTAGAAAATATGTTACTACAAAATTTCCATTAAACTTTAATACGCATGGACTTTTAGGGAAAGTCCAACTTTCCCTTTTCCTCTTCATTGTAGAATATCAAGCTTCCCTATTGGCAATGAATTGGCCGTTTTATGGATCACCCCAAAACAATTAATAGTTTATTAGCTGATTAGGGGAACAAGATCGCGCCGATGTGGTAACGGCAGCCATCGGACTTCGCCGGTCATAAATAATGTGAAATTCGATTACCGGGTCATAAACACTATCATACGTAACAAGCCGCGTGTGCTGCCATTTGTTACGAATTTATTAGCCTATTTGGTCAGACCTGCTTAATTTCTGACATTAAGGTCTTAAGACAGAAAAACTTTTTTGTTTTTTTTTTTAGTATAGCATATAAATTTATTAAAACGTCGATCAACCAACCTAATGGCTATAAAACGTTGGGTATAATAAGAAACCCTAAGTTTTATTTGTTGATATTTTTGAAAGAAGGAAAGAATAGTATTCTGATACTTAGAAACAAAAATAGAAAAGAAACATAAACTTTAATGATAGATTTATAAAATAAGTTACATTATAAATTTAATTACTTTTGCAGATGCTTTCGTCCACAACTGGCATTCGGGCCCCATCAACTGCCACGAGTGTGCTAGCCTCGAGGAGTGTTCCTTGGGATCCGGAGCCCTCCGAAAATGTCTGAGTAACGATGGCCAAAGTTGTGTGGCCATTTTCGACAGCAATGGAGCTGTGATCCAAAGAGGATGCAGCGATAGTTTGGAATCAGTTTGCACGGCAAGTGGGGATAACTGCTACGAGTGCCGATCGCACGGCTGCAATTCGCTGAAAACCAATAAGGATTTCGTTGAGTGCGTAGTCTGTGATGCCCAGACCGATGATAATTGTGTGTTCGACATCGAACTTGTGACTGAGAAAAGAAAGTGCAACGAACGTTGTGTCACGGCGCTTTATGCCACCAATAGCGAAGTGGGTGCTCCCCTGGAATTGGTTCGCAGTTGCTTGGATGACTTGGACCTGGATGATCAGGAGGCCTGCATCGATGGATCGCTCGATAATTGTGTAGCCTGCAATTCCGCGGGTTGTAATACCGTGGACTTGGGTGTTCGGGGCAGCTGTAATTACTGCAAAGGAGATTGCAGTAGTCCGCAGTCCAAAACCTGCCGAGCTGTGCCATCGGGAGATAACCAAGAGAGCTGCTTTATCGAATTCGATAGTGCTGGAACAATCTACGAAATGGGCTGCCTGAGTCAATATAATGTTAGTGACGTCACCCTAATGGAAACCAACAAGCAATTGTGGTATTGCACTGGTGACAATTGCAATGTTGAATCTGCCCTGGCCAAACCCCAAACCTGCACATTGTGCAGTTCTCGTACGGAAGATGATTGTGCTGTGGCTCCCGGAAATGTCGATACGAGTACTGTGTGCGAAAGTCTTGTAAACTCCGACTGCTATTCGCGGATCCTGGATAATGGACACACGGACAGGGGTTGCCTGACCAGCTTGGAGGGCGAGGACTACCTGGAGTGCCTGAAGGATACCAACAGCACCAAGTGCTCCAGGTGCACTGGGGCTAAATGCAACCAGGAGGTGGGTTTATGTTTCTTAAGATATCTTGTAACCCCTTTCATTGTTTAATCTGCAAGGATTAGCCTGACTAGTGTCTAATGTATTTAAATATCCCACTTTTAGCTGCAACCCAGTGAGCGTTTGAGCTGCCAAATCTGCGATTCCAGCGAGGATGCATCCTGCGAGGGAACGCCCACTGCCCCTGCCCTCTGCCTGCTCCATACCGCCAACCAGCAATGTCTAACAACCATTGATCTCTCGGGTAATACCCAACGTGGATGCAGTGCCTCCTTGGAGTGTGATGCCAGTAACCCTAGGAAGTGTCAGCTCTGCTCTGGAGCGGATTGCAATACCGCAAATCTGAAGAGGGTGGAGGATGGCCAGCCGGGTTTGTGGGGTCAAGAGTTGCCCCTCAGCTGTCAGAGTTGTGCGGACGCCACCAGTTGTGCCGCCACCGACCTATCGAATATTACCTGCTCCAGCGAATCGGAATACTGTGTGACTGTATTCAGTGCAAACGGATCTGTGGCCGCCAAGGGATGCAGCCAGGTGGTGGAACAAGCCTGGGGCACATACTGTGATGCCAATGGCGAAAACTGTCACAACTGCAACTCGAATGGTTGCAACAAGGCCAGCTCCCTGGCTAGTTACAACGAATGCATCTACTGCGACTACGACAACGAAGATTGTGCCAGTAATCCCGAAAATGTGAAGTCCCGACGCCTTTGCAATGGTCAGTGCATGACTGCCTCCCGTAGGAGATCGAGCGAAAGTATCGTATACGACACCGTTCGAGGATGCTTGGATGATAAGGATCCTGAGGATCAGGCGACCTGCATTGCTGGCACCGACAACAATTGCATTGCTTGCTCTGGAGCCAATTGCAATGTTGACGATATTGATGAAACCACTTTGTCCTGCTACCAGTGCTCTGGTGAAGAGTGCAGTGATCCTGAGGCTAGTAAATGCAGTCAGTACAGCCCCGAGGATCGTTGCTATATTCTTTTCGACTACGAAGCGGATATCAAAGCCATGGGTTGCAAGTCCGATCTTGATGAAGAGTATGTGGACGATAACTTCCACTCTCTTCTGTTCTGCAACGAAAGCAACTGCAATTTCTTCGATAATCTGCCTACACCACAAGAATGCATCGCTTGCGATTCGTCTGAAGATCCCAACTGTGCTACGGATCCCTCAAAGATCACTCTCATAGGACATTGTGGAATCTTGCCCTATTCTAGCTGCCAGACACGTGTCAGAGGTGAGTTGAGATACCCTAAAACCTTTAGACTTAGCTTGAACTTCTTCCAGTTAAAGCTAGATCTCCCCAGTCTTATCAAGAACTAATGACTTAAATTCCTCCGTATCTTTCTAGATGGCATAACCCAGCGTAGTTGCCTTAGCAGTTTGCCCCGCGAACAGTTGGAGGAGTGTCTTGCCGGCACCGGAACCTGTACGGTATGTGAAGGCGATCGCTGCAACGTCGACATATATCCCGCAGATCGTCGTCGCTGTCAGCGGTGCAACTCCCTCACCGATCCCACCTGCGAATCCGCACCCGATGCTGCTGAGCCGTGTCCCTTCTATCTGGAAAGCGAAGGATGCAGTGTCAAGTTGGTGGATGGGGTAACCTATCGTGGCTGCCAGCGGGAGTTCACCTGCGACGATTCGGACAAACAGCACTGCCGTTTGTGCTCAGGCAAGGATAACTGCAATGTGGTCGATCTGTCTAACTCCTACATTGGATATCCGGGCAAGTTTTCCACTCCGCCGGTTAATTGCTACACCTGCAATGGCACTGAATGCCAGGGATCGAGTGGGACCTTGCGCAAGTGTACGGGAAATGATCAGCAAAACTGCGCCACTGTTTTCGATGCCTCTGGTTCGGTGATCCACCGAGGTTGTTCAGACACTCTCTACGCCGACGAGGAGCTCCTCCAATTCTGCGATGAGAACTCGGCCAACTGCAAGTTCTGCAAGTCCACGGGCTGCAATAACGCCACGGACTTGTCCTCCTATGTGGACTGTCTGTTCTGCGACGGAGGCGAGGAGGCCAATTGCGTCCGAAAGGTGGGAGATGTCACGCGGACTTTAACCTGCCAGGGAAGCTGCTTCACTGGTCTATATGCCCGCAACCGATCCGATGCCAATCCCGTTTACGATCTGGCTCGTGGTTGTCTGGATGATCTCGAGTACGACGATCGTGAGGCCTGCGCTGCCGGCACCCTGGAGAACTGTGTTTCCTGCTCAGGTGCCTCGTGCAACGAGGCTGATGTGCCGGTGAATCGCCTCAGCTGTAATGTCTGCCAGGACTCTGAATGCGAAACCATAACCAGTGAGGTATGTCTGGGTTATCGGTCCGACGAACAGTGCTACATACTTGTGGGCGATCAGAGCATCAAGGCCATGGGTTGTGCCACCGATCTGCAGGAGACCTACTTGTTCAGCAACCGCAGGGATTTGTATCTCTGCTCCGGTAACGATTGCAACACCAAGGATAAGCTGAATACGGTTGGCGTTAGCTGTAACACCTGTAATTCCACTTATGATGATGGCTGTGTAAGCGGTGTTGGATTAAATGCAGGTGTCTGCCAGCACTACATCAATCCTGAATGCTACAGCTATTTGAATGAGGGTAGGTGTTGATCAGACAATTCCAAATATCCTATATACTGAGCTCTGTTTTTTTATAATTTCCAGATGGTGTTTTGCTCCGTGGTTGCCTAATGGATACGGATGATGACCTCTTTGATGAATGCAATAGTTCTGGCAGCTCAAACTGCACTATTTGCAGCACGAATAACTGCAACACTCAGGTTTATCCCGCGGATTGGTTGTCTTGCCTCCGTTGTGATTCTTCCAGTGATGCGGATTGTGCCCTGAATCCTTCGAGCTACTCCAGCTATTGTCGCACCTATTCCGAGGACGATAGCTGTGTCACTTCTCTGACCAACGGACGCACACGTCGTGGCTGCCAATCGGAGCTGAAGTGTGATGCATCCCAGGCGGGCAGTTGCAGGGTTTGCTCCGGCGCAAACTGCAACGTTGTGGATCTGCAATCTAGCTATGTTGGTGAGCCAGGAAAGTGGCAGGACCTTCCATTGAGCTGTTACGATTGTGGGGATGCGGCAAGTTGTGCAACCGTTGGTACCGAAACCACCAAATGTGAGGGCAACAACAAGCAGACCTGCTCCACGGTCTTCAATTCCCAGGGTCAGGTGGTGGCCAGAGGATGCAGCGATGCTGTCCAGGCTGCCAATGCGGACTACTGCGATTCGAACAGTGAGAACTGCCTTCAGTGCAAGTCGGATGGTTGCAATAGCGCCGTGTCCTTGGACTCCTATGTGGATTGCTACTTCTGTGATGCCGAAGACGATGTGAACTGTGCGTGGGAAAAGCCGGAGACGACCAGAAAGTGCCAGGGTCAGTGCATGACGGGATTGTATCCTCGCAGCTCCTCCTGGGACTCAGCTCTTCTGCCCACTCGAGGTTGCCTGGACGATCTGAATGAAGCGGAGCGAACTTCTTGCGCCGCAGGAACCCATGCCAATTGCACTGCCTGCACAGGATCACTGTGCAATGGAGACGACGTCATCGCGAACCCACTTGAGTGTTATACTTGCAAGGATCCTCTCTGTGAGGACCTGACAACCGAGAAGTGTGTGGCCTACAGGGAAGATGACCAATGTTACTTGGCCTATGATAGTTCCGACGTGGTGGCCATGGGCTGTGCCAGTGACTTTGAAACTCAGGTTATCAAGGAGCTGGTGGCCCAGCAGCGATTGCTCCTTTGCTCAGGACAGAAATGCAACGAATACACGATCACCCCCGATCCCAATACTTGTCTGCAGTGCACATCCTTGGATGATCCACGTTGTGCCACCAATCCGAACCAGCTGCTCACCACCGACATATGCGCCAAGTTGCCGTACACGGAGTGTGTGACCCAGATTGATAGCAGGGGCAACACCATTCGCGGATGCCTGTCCAGTTTGGCTGGCGGAGAATTCTACGAGTGCCTGACTGGCGATGGAGAACTCTGCGATACTTGCACCGGAGACCGTTGCAACGGCCTGTCCGTATTCCCAGCGGATCGTAGGAAATGCTACCAGTGTGACTCATCCAGTGACCCCAATTGTGCCACCTCTCCAGCCAGTCTCACCAGCACAGTGTGCCCCATTTACTCGCAGGACGAGTCCTGTGTGACCACCTTGTCCGATGGCATCACGCACAGAGGCTGCAGTTCCTCGCTCACCTGCTCGGATCCCTCGGATCCAACCACCTGCCGCACTTGCAGTTCCGCAGATGGTTGCAACACCGTGAACCTGGAGAGGATCGACGAGGAAGGATTGCCTGGCAAATGGCAGACTGTGCCCATTAAGTGTCTGACTTGCTCGGGCACGGCTTGTGCCTCTGGTGGAGGCACCCTAACCGAATGCTCGGGATATGATAACTGCGTGACCGTATTCGATGCCACCGGAGCAGTTAGCCAAAGGGGTTGCTCGGAGCCGGTGTTTGAGAGCTCCACCTACTGCGACGAGAATCCCGCCTCCTGTCCCCGCTGCAATTCCAATGGCTGCAACACCGCCGACTCCACCGATTCCTATGTTGAGTGCATCGTTTGCGATTCCAGTGAGGACTCGCAGTGTGTCAGTAGTCCCACCCAGATCACAAAGACACGCAAGTGCAATGAGCGTTGCGTCTCGGCCTTCTTGCCGCTCTTCAACGAAACTGAGGATCCCAGCTATGCGCTGGTCCGCAATTGCTACGATGATCTGGAAAAGGAGGATCGTGACGCGTGCACAGCCGGCAGCAAGAGATTCTGTGCCACTTGTGAAGGTGCCAAGTGCAACTCCGAGGACTTGGTGGCCAGTCGGCATAGCTGTTTGGTCTGCCAGGGCGATGAATGCCAGAAGCCAGAGGCCAGCAGTTGCTCGAATTACAGGGAGAACGATGAGTGCTACATCCAATTCGATGAGGAGCGATCGGTGTCTTCGCTGGGTTGCCTGAGTGAACTGAGCCACGAGGATATCTACCTGTTGAGACGCTCCAAGAGACTGCTGACCTGCAGTGATAAGGATTGCAATACCATCGAATCCCTGCCGGAAACACAGAGTTGCACCTTGTGTAGCTCGCGTACCGAGGCCAATTGTGCAATTAGTCCTTCAAGTGTGACCAGCGCCACTAATTGTGCCCTGAGCGGCTTCCCCGAATGCTATTCCCGCGTCCTTTCCGATGGAAGCACCGAGAGAGGTTGCACCTCCAGCTTGGAGGACGATGAGTTCCTCTCGTGCTACAACGGCACCTCCACCTCGTGTAACTCCTGCCAGGGAAGTGGTTGCAACCAGCTGGTGTACCCCAGCAACCGTCGATCCTGCCACGTTTGCAACTCTGAGTCGGACCTTAACTGTGCCTCCAACCCCAGTAGCCTTACCGTGTGCTATCTGTACGAAGCAGATGACCAATGTGTGACCAATCTGAGGAACGGAGTGACCTACAGGAGCTGCTCCTCCTCGCTGACCTGCGAGGCGAATGCCAAGACCTGTGTCTACTGCGAGGGCGATGGCTGCAATCAGGTCGACTTGGCCGCGAAGTCCGATGATAACTATGGCAAGTGGCAGGACCTGCCCTTGGAGTGTCTCACCTGTGAGGGCACCAGTTGCCAGGAGGAGGATGTGCCCGCGGTCAAGTGCCAGAGCAACAACGAGCAGGACTGTCTGACCGTTTTCGGAGCGGATGGCTCGGTCACCAGACGTGGCTGCCAGGATGAGATCGAAGCGGATCCCACCATCGCCACGTACTGCGGCTCCAATGCCGGAAGCTGTCCCACCTGCAAGTCCAACAGCTGCAACAATGCCACCGATCTCAGCCAGTACACCACCTGTATTTACTGCGACTCCTACAAGGATTCCTCCTGCCTGTGGGATCCCACGAGCACCACTCACAGGACTCGTCAGTGCCAGGGACAATGTATGACTGCTCTGTACGGTAGCTCCGATTCCGGACTCGATCTCATCCGCACTTGCTTGGACGACAAGGAGCCGTCTGATCAGCTGGTCTGTGCCAGTGCCAGCGATTCCAGTTGCTCCGCCTGCAGCGGTGACTCCTGCAATGTCCAGAGTTTGCCCGAGGATCGCCTGAGTTGCTACACCTGCGAGGGCGACGATTGCGAGGATCCGCAGCCCAAGACCTGTGCCATCTACAAGCCCGAGGACAGTTGCTTCCTGTGGGTGGACGAGGACAACGACCTGAAGCAGCTCGGCTGCCTCAGCTCCTTCCGCAACCAGGACCTCGAGTCCATTATTAAGACGAAGCGCATTGCCGTCTGCAATGGCACCAACTGCAATGTTCCCCAGCTCCAATCTTCGGTGCAATGTGCCGTCTGCGATTCCCGCGAGGATCCCACTTGCGCCACCGATGCTCAATCCGTGGGCAGCATCTCTCTCTGCAACCAGTTGCCCCACACGGGATGCTACACCAAATTGGAGGATGGTAAGTCCAGGAAACTTATATTTCAATTTGTAAAATTAGTCGAAGGAAACATGCTGAATTTTGTCTTTAACAAACATGAAACTTGGTTAGACCAGCGATGGTATCCCATAGGTAGTCAGCACATAAATAACTATAAAATATGTTATACCATAATAATGTAATTAAATTTGACAATAAGAAAAAAATAGCCAAAAAATCATATTCAGATCGGAAAATAGAGAAAATAACATATTTCGTCACAATGCATGGAAAGAAACATAATTAGGACATTCATTTAAGGAAATCATCGCTTCGCTCCTTTATTATCTTACGGTTCCCTTCTAAAAAGCTAATGACAGCTTGTAAACTTGTTTAGCATAATATAAATATAAGAAAACCTGACTTGGTTTATTCATCGATTTCGTTTAAATTTTTCTTCTAACTAAACCCTGCAATCTCTTTTCCTTCAGATGGTTCCACCAACCGTGGTTGCCTGTATGACCTGGGCCAGTCTGAATTTGCCGCCTGTTTGCTAGGAAGCGATGACAATTGCACCGTGTGTTCCGTTGATGGTTGCAATCGAGAGGTAAACATAAAGATATAACTAATTTATCTTCTTGTTATAAATATAATCTTTTCCTTATATAAGATTTTCCCTGCGGATCGTCAACTGTGCTACTCCTGCACCTCCGCTGATGATGGCAGCTGTGAGTCGGATCCCTCATATAAGTTGGCCTGTCCGTGGGTCAGCGAAACCGAGACCTGCAAGACCCTACTCTCCGGAAATGTGACCACCCGTGGATGCAGCAGCTATGTGGAGTGCGATTCGAGCGATTTCCGCAATTGCCGCAGTTGCTCCGGCAGCGAGTGCAACGCCATCGATTTGGCCAACCGCGTGGACGATGGTCAGCATGGATTGTACCAGGATCTTCCACTGAAGTGTCACTCTTGCGTCGGCGAACATTGTCTGGTTTCCTTGGGACCTACTGTCACTTGCTCCGTGAATAAGGAACAGGACTGTAAGACCGTCTTCGCGGCGGATGGTGTGTCTGTGAGGAGGAGAGGTTGCTCGGATGACGTGGATGACTACGAAGATCGCTATTGCCGCCAGAATCCCGAATTGTGCTTCACCTGCAAGTCCAATGAGTGCAACGATGCCTGGTCCACTGAGGAGTTTGTGACCTGTACCTTCTGCAATTCGGCGAACAACGAGACCTGCATCACTGATCCCACGGAATCCGACTTGGCCAAGCGCAGCTGCAAGGGTCAGTGTATGGTGGCTTTGAATGGAGAGGATTTGATTCGATCCTGCCTGGACGACAAGGAGCTGTACGATCGCTCCGATTGCAGCAGCGATGAGAGCGGTATTAACTGTGCCTCCTGTTCCGGTGCAAACTGCAACACCTTCTCGTATCCCGCCGATCGACTGAGTTGCCACACCTGTGCGGATGCCACGTGCTCGAGCAGCAAGTCGCAGGCTTGTTTGGCCTACAGGTCGGATGACTACTGCTTCGCCAAGTACGCACTTGAAGGCGGAGTGGAACTGATGGGATGTGCCAGTAGCCAGAATAGCTCCAGCCTGGAGGGTTGGCAGGATGCCAATCAGTTGTACTCCTGCCAGGGAAGTGGGTGCAACGATCTCAGTCGACTGCCCAGCGATGGCGAGTGTCTGTCCTGTGATTCCAGCAAGTCCTTGGAGTGCGCTCAGGATCCCACGGGTGTGATTGCCACCATCACCTGTCATGCCCCCAATTCCGATTGCATAACTCGTTTGGAGGATGGCCATACGATCCGCGGTTGCAAGAGCGTGCTGAGCAACTCCGACAGTGAGAGCTGTGTGGCTAGTGGCACTTGTGCCGTGTGCTCCGGAGCCAAGTGCAACACCGAGATATTCCCCTCGAACCGACGTCGCTGCCACATCTGCAACTCCACCGCAGATCCCAATTGTGCCAAGCAGCCCAACAGCCTGGCCGTGTGTCCTGTCTACGCAGCGAATGACGGATGTGTGACCTCCTACAACAATGGACTCCTGCGACGTGGATGCGCCAGCGAATTGGAGTGCGAGATCGACAGCGAGGATCACTGCCAGAAGTGCTTCACGGATGGTTGCAACACGGCCGAACTCACGGGCTCGGCGGGCGGACTATCCGGCATCGGCCTGGGTCTCACCATCCTCCTCGCCTGGCTGATCAGCTCTATTAAGCACCTGTAGGTCTTCCAGTTCCATATCCCCCATCTAGTTAAGTAGATTTATATAGAGTACGCTTATGTAATTAGATTGCTGTGCTGAAGGCGATGGGCCGTTCCGACCAATCGCACGATCTACAAACGATTTGTAAATAAACCAAATGACAATTTCGAACAATTTTAAGGGTTATATCTTGGGGCTTTCACAATTTGATATTTGGTATTTGGATGCAGCACATATGGATGATCTTAGACATTCTTAGTTAGCATAAGACACAGGTGTACAAAACTATTTTTCATCAATGCAGAACGAACTTTTAATTTAACAAGAAAGGAAAGCTAACTTCGGGCGGAGCCGAAGTTGATATACCCTTGCAGAATACTCTATAATTATATTCTCCAAAATTATTCCTATGATGCATTCTTAATACTCATAAAAAATCCAAACTTTCTATCTTTAATAACACCAAAGTTATGGCATTTCCAATCGTTCAGTTATATGGCAGCTATATGATATAGTCGGCCGATCCTTATGAAATTTGGTAGGTCGGATTGATTGGCCAAATATAAAACCCATAGAAAATCCTAACTTTACAAAAACGAAAGTTATGGCATTTGCGATCAATCAGTTATATGACAGCTATAGGATATAGTCGGCCGATCCCGGCCATTCCGACTTATATACTGCGTGCAAAGGAAAGAAGGGTGTGTGCAAAGTTTCAATTCGATAGCTTTAAAACTGAGAGACTAGTTTGCGTAGAAACAGACAGACGGACAGACGGACAGACAGACGGACAGACGGACAGACGGACATGCTTATATCAACTCAGGAGGTGATCCTGATCAAGAATATATATACTTTATAGGGTCGGAGATGCCTTCTTCACTGCGTTGCACACTTTTGACCAAAATTATAATACCCTCTGCAAGGGTATAAAAACAATACAACTTTTCAAACAAAATTTATCAAGACAAGAAAGGAAAGCTAACTTCGGGCGGAGCCGAAGTTAATATACCCTTGCAGAATACTCTGTAAATTATATTCTCCAAAATTATTCATATGATGCATTCTTAATACTCATAAAAATCCCAACTTTCTAACTTTAAAAACACAAAAGTTATGGCATTTCCGATCAATCAGTTATATGGCAGCTATAGGATATAGTCGGCCGATCCTTATGAAATTTGGTAGGTCGGATTGATTGGCCAAATATAAAACCCATAGTAAATCCCAGCTTCCTAACTTTACAAACACCAAAGTAATGGCATTTCCGATTAATCAGTTATATGGCAGCTATAGGATATAGTCGGCCGATCCCGGCCGTTCCGACTTATATACTGCGTGCAAAGGAAAGAAGGGTGTGTGCAAAGTTTCAATTCGATAGCTTTAAAACTGAGAGACTAGTTTGCGTAGAAACAGACAGACGGACAGACGGACAGACGGACAGACAGACGGACAGACGGACAGACGGACAGACGGACAGACGGACATGGCTATATCAACTCAGGAGGTGATCCTGATCAAGAATATATATACTTTATATGGTCGGAGATGTCTCCTTCACTGCGTTGCACACTTTTGACCAAAATTATAATACCCTCTGCAAGGGTATAAAAATGAGAGATTAGTTTTAAAAAGCTGTGGTCTTTCTTTATGTTCCTTTTAATAATATGTACCTGATTTAATATAGTTTTAGTTTTAAATTTAACTACTCTTCTTGAAAAAATAATGACTATAATGACCCTTCGCTTTCTAAAAATACCGCTCCTGTCTTTATATATTCGCTGTGATTCCCTTATTTTTATAGATTTTAATAATATTTCAGCTCAATAAATAACATAACATTTGATTTGATAATACCATAAACAAATACATAAGCACTATTTTAGTTTATAAGTCAACTTTTTCTTTAAAATGTGTGTTTCTGCTAATCTCTTTCCCTGTCCACACCAGTTTTGTCTGTTTTGTAAGCCTTAACGCCTGTCTAGCTTCGAGCTCCTTCAGTTTCTACACCTTTTCTCCGCTGAGAGATGCCAGACAGATTTTTCCCCTTTTCCGACCCACTATTTCCACGTCAATTTTTCGCTCGAATAAAGTTGAAAAGTGAAATTGCCTCTCCCACCGAAAATACAAAAAACAATGGAAGGAGCTAAAGTTGCCAAGAAATGGCAAAACGCAGCCATTGGAAATAAAATGCAAATGCAGAAGGCGATGCGTTGTGTGTTGCTTTAGTGGAGTTTAAAGCAAATTGAAATTCGCTCGGCATAACAAAGAAACGCAGAACTTAATCCAGACTGGTGCTGAGAAATAGAGTTTTGTGGTCCGCAAATTGCCATCAAGATTAGGATCCAATGAAAAGACAACTTTTCTGTGGCGGAAAAAGTTGCCGCAAGTCCATTTGATTTGCTTTTAATTGCCGGCATTTTGGTCGGGCCAACGATAAACAATTGCGTTTAAGATTTATAGCGAGCAATTAAATATTTGACAACGATTTAATGGCAAATTACACAATAACCACAAGACATGTAGGCGGCCACTGAAGAGATTCGAAAGAGAGTGGCAACTGGAGGGAGTCATGAGTAATGTGAATTAAATGAACTTATTGATAGCTTAGTTGGTCATTGAAAAATCTTGTTATTTGTATTGTTATTTCTTAGGAGATTTAAAGACTTTTCGATTGCACTTTTCCAATTTATACAATGTTTAAACCATCTACTGTCAACTTTGTTATTAATCCTAATATTACTTTGTATGTGACATCAATTCTTTTATTGGTCTAAATATGGTTGCTTTATTATATCCTTTCAGACGGTAAAAAGGCAACGCATGAAGGAAACCTTTTAGACCCCATTAAGTATACATTCTTGATCAGCATTACCAAGAGATCCGATTTTGCCATATCCGTCTGCTCGTCGGTCAGTTACTTCGCAAACAAGTCCCTTACTTTTAAGGCTATTTGGATGAAACTTGGCAAAAATTTTTCATTTTGGTGGTAATATAAGTCGAAACGGGACGGATCCTATAGGAACAACCGGAAAAAAAGGAAAATAAAATTGTAACTTCGTAGTTTAGTTTGAATAAAGCTGATGACTGAACATGGAAATCTAAATATTTAATTTATTTTATTTTATTTATATTTATTTTTTTAAGAACTGCAAGGGTAAACTTTATCTTGTCGAAGTATGCTTCCATTCCTATTACAAATTTCACTGCTGACTTTAATTTTTAATGTTCGTGAAAACTATTAAAAGCCAGTTTTCTTTACATACTGACTAAAACTAAAAGTTCGTATATAAAATAGTATCCAATTTTCGATCCTATCGTGACTATCGCTGAATTATCCCAGCTTCCAGGGCCAAATGTCGGTGGTGAATTTATTGATTACACGTATTCATCGATCAATTTGTAAAGTCGACAACCTGTTGTTTTTGTTGCTATCGCCTTGCAGCTGTCACAACAAACTGCCCGTTAACCCAAACTGCAAGTTGACCAATTTATTTTGCCGCGTTTATCACGTCGCCTAACTCGGTTTTCCCCGCCATTCCCCCTTACAACCAACTTCGGTTTGCTGACAGCGACAGCCGCTTTTAAAATCTATTAGTTTGCCAACTGCCGGACAACAACAAAAGTACCAGCATCCAATGCACGAAGCCTGTTTTCAGCGCCAAAGCAAACAAAATTTAATAAACCGCTTGCCGGCTTCCAGGGCTTGTAACTTATGTGCCACAAAATAAATTATTTTCGGTTTTGTCATTTGATTAAAATGTTTGAGCGCCCGGCCAATGGAAAATTAATTGCAGCCCTGTTTCTTCGTGGGTGGGACGCGAATTGAAATGAAAAACCAATAATATGTTGATTCAAATATAATTAAAAACATAATAAATTTTTAATTTTGTGTTAAGGATTTCTGCTTTAAGAATTTCGTTTTCATTATATCATGGTATTTAGTTAAAAGTTAAATAAAACATAGATTATTGCCCAATATTTAGCAATATGTTATCTTTTATACAACACATATTTTAAATACCAATTTTGCACCAAAGTTAACTTAAAAATGTCTTACATAGAAACTCAATATGTACAACATTTTTTTTTTAATTTGCTTGCACTTTTGAACAGTAGTTTAAATAAAACTCACTCAACTGCTCTAAATGAAACTCACTACTTTACGAAATTATAAAACAATATTTATTTTTCCTTGAATATGAACTACTGAGTATTGAGCATTATCTTCCCCTTTTGATTTAAGGGAATTTAAGTAATTTCCGCTGCGCCTCGTTTCTGCCCCAACTGTCGCTTCAATTTACTCGAGGAGATTGCAACATATGTGACAGAAATGGAGGAGAAGATACATAAAAGTAGATGGTGCAACATTCGGGAATCCCACTCGTCATCTTCAGCGTTTCTGGATGTCTGAGGTGCGTACGTGTCTCTGGCGTTTTATTAGGTTTCGCTGGACTCGCATCGTGTCCGAAGGAAATTAAAATATTTCAAGCGGAAAATTCAATTTAATTTTAGCTGCATGTAAGGAAAATATTAAAGGATGAAGAATAAATTTAGTCCCAACTTTTAAAAAGAAATTACCTTGGTGATTTCTGAGAAAAATATTGGAAAGACAAGGAAAATTACAAAATAAATTACTTATATAACTATTAATATTAATACTTTTCAAATACAATTTAAAGAATAAAGCTAATAACAAAAAATTAAACTAAAACTAAAAACCCGTTTCGTCGCGTGTCTAATAATATTTAATATAATATTTTCAGCTTTTCTTAAACTAAATAACAAAGCTTTGATGCAAAAACGAATACATGAAATTTAAAACAAATCCAGACAATTGAATTCGTTCTGCCGCAAACACAAATAGAGATAGATATTCGCATGCGAGATTTTTTTTATGGAGTCCCGGCATTATTTAAATTGAATTTTTACAAAATTAAGTTGATTGTGTTGCAAAGAGAGAAAAAAAACACTGAAAATTTATATTCTATGTTGGCCTCCGGGCTTATGCGATATTTATTTATGGCCGCCAACTTGTTTGGTGTCCCTACGCCCTATTTCCTTCCCCTAACCCCGAAACCCTCTTATTTTCCACGGGATCCCTAACAGCATTGGGCTTATATTTTATTTATTTTTTTTACGGAAACAATTGAACAATTGATTCGCGTGCATTC